TAGTTTTGAAATTTTAATATATGATTGACTACCGGATGAGGATGACTGGATGAGGATATATAATAATAGTAATAATATTAGAGTTTAATTTATTAACTTAAATTATTATAATTATTGAATTAATCGTAAGTCTTATTAAATATTAAAATTTAATATTAATTCAACGAATTACATCATTATATTAGTAGATTAGATCAAAATTTTAAATTTCAATATCATTACTCATATAGTAATTATTGTTATCTAATCCTCGTGTTATTGAGCGTTTACCTCCCTAATTTCCTGTCAAAATATTTTTTACTCAATAATTTTCTTGATAATTATAAAGGGATTTGAGAGTGGTATGCTATCCATCAATAAATACCACAATAAGATAAAGTGCAATGAAAGTGTGTTTGACGATGTGATTGATTCCTAATCATAGGGGTAATAAATAGACTTGATTAATAATTAATCTGATCTAACCATTTGAACTAAGTGTTATCTCAATGTGACTTTATCTATTTTTATGTATAAAGATTATTGCGTTGGAGAAAAGTTAAATCCAAATACTTTAAAATTGGCATCTATTAGTCAAATAAAAATTGACCAAGACATGCATGCTGGATACTAATGTGACCATTAAATCTTTATACAATAATGCATGAGATGGTTACCCTACTTCTCTCATTTTACGAGTAGGCATCGGATTGGACAAAAGTATGAGAGCTTATGAATAGTACACTCAAAGGTTGATGTCATTGAAAAATTCAGTTTTTTGTCAAAAAAAAAAAGAAAAACAGAAAAAGGAACAGTTCAATAGACCAACGCCTGATTACATTCTATAGGAAAAGAAAAGACACTATCCTCCTCTTACTAAATAAGAACAAAGCACTTACCCAAAAAGTTAAAGATAAAGTAAGTAGAGGAAGAATATTAAAATTAAAAGAGGGTAGTTGTTTGGTTCATTACAAGTTAAAAAGCGAGCAACAATAATGATTGATTCAAAGAGTCAAAAAAAAAAAAAAAAAAATACTGAAGCTAATCATAAAGTTGGACCGGGGACCATATGGATTTAATATAAAACTCACGTGCAAAGCATTGAGAGTAGCAAAACAAGGTCTTTAACCTTTTTTAAGCGAAGTTTTGTGGCTCCCCATGTCTGTAATGGTCATCCATGACACCATAATCATACCCTTTTTTGGCCCATTACCTGCTTTCTTTTTCGGCCTAGCCCATTCCCTATTTCACCGCCAATGTATTTGACGGTGTTAAGAATCGAGAAGTGTGAGAAACGAGGGCTGAAGAGATCTTTTTTGAAACTTCTGGAATGTGTGTATGAAAACATCAAATCAGGAAAATTGAGAGATGAATTGGTCCATCAGAGTTTGATTAGTCTCTTATAATGAAGTTTCTTGTTCCTAGTGTGTGTATTACTTAAACAGGAAGATGGTGGTTACAACTTTTTTGTATGTAAAATTGTACTCTTTTGCAAGCCAAAGGTTTGCCTATTCTTATCATAGTGTAGAGTGCTTCTCAAGAAATAATGGGAACGGTCCCCTAATTTGTTGTGATTTTAAGAGGGAATATTTGACCATTAGAGATTATATTCTTCTAGGCATGACGTGATATTTTAGAAGTTGGTGATGTGATATTAGTAATTTATCCCTAGACAATGTTTGATGTTGTAATTCCCTTTTTGTCCCTTCTCTAGCTTTAGTCTGAGCTACTTTAGGTAAGCCAAGCTTGTTTAGGAATGGTTGAGCTAGTTCCAACAAATCCAAGCAGATTTAAAGATTAAATTGACCTAAACTCTTGTCAACAAGTCTGTCATTTTGTCTTTTACACCAATAACTCTCCTACTTGTGTTATAGATTTGTTTTCTATGCTGGTTTTGGTCTTGGTATCACTAGTCGCCCCCATCCCTGAGCTCGGACTATCTGAACTATATGCTAGTTGGGGCTGAGCTCAATAAAGTGTAAATGAGTTGTGCCCTGATAATAGTGGAGAGGTCGTGCCTTTCTGATTGTATCCCTAAGACCTCAGTTGAAAAGATGTGAAAGGTTCGTGTCCTTATTTCTGCGCAATTGTGCAGGCGAGAAACGTGTTAAGCACCTCGTATCTCAGTACGTGTCAATTAGGAGGCGACACGTGGGATAGGGTTTAGGAAGGAGAATTAAACGCGTCTTGCGTACCTTAAATGCACATGATGGAGAAAAAACTGCCAATTCCCAAAAGCTATTTAAACTCCCTCTTCGTCTTCTTCCTCTTTCTTGTTGTAGAAGATTATAGAGAGATAAGAGGTCTTGGCTTGATTCGATGTGTAGGTTCTTCATTGTCATTCCTATGTACTTTGTTGTCTTCGTTGGTTAGGTACGCCATCTTCATTCTTTTACCTTACAACTTAGATCAATTTGATCCCTGGTGGTGGTCTTAGAGACTCCACTTTTTAGTTCTTCATTTCTACTTCTTTAGGAGTCTCGATAGATCCTTAGCCCCTATTTTTTTCTTTCATTGACCATGCTAAAGTTCTTCGCAATTGGTATCTGGATCTTCGTGACATTGAGACTATTCCTTAAATCTTCCCCAACTTTACCTTAGGCTTGAGTTCACAGTGCCCCGTGCTGGTTGCATATCTGTCTCTTCCATTACTATGCCTTCTTCAATCTCCACCATGTTTAGGGGTCCTAATGACTATGATTTTGTGTCTCCTACTCAGAAGGAAGTGGTTGATCTGGAGGATGATGAGAACCCTTTAGCATTGATTAGCTCTAGCGAGGCCACTTCTTGACAACTGAGTCGTCGCCTTCTAATGCCATACCTTATGAAGTTGTACCTCCCGAAGTCATGCTTGAAGAGATGGCTCCTAGGAAAAAGAAACAAAGGGTAGTTGAGAGAAACAGGAATCCCCAAGTGAGCAAGGTTGCTTCGCCATCCAAAACTGACACCTCTGGTAGAGCCCAGGACCTCTAGGGAGCAAATGTGACCTTAGTTTGTAGTCACTTGATCAAGTAGATATCTTAGGTGATTAGCCATTGTAGGTGGGGGTTAAAAAAGGTTGACACACGTGTCTATACTAAAGGTAATCGAAGGGGTGAGTAAGACAAGTGGATGGGATAGAAGAAACTCAAGCAGCCTATTAATGAAGGGACAAATCAGTTGGGCAGAGGGTGGGTGAAAAATGCTTTCTCCAGCTAGAAAATCATCCGCTTCAGTGGGCTAATAATGTGAGTATTTATAGCACAGTGCCCGGGCAGATCGGGCTGCCCGCCACGATCCCCTACCACTCGCGCTAACCTATAATTGTCTTGACTGCAACGATACTAGTGATTGTTAATGGCGAGCCATGTGTCCCAGCATTAACTGGGCAGATGTGATATTTTTTCAAACGCAACATGGACGTGGCCCCGAGGAAGGTGCGACAACCAAGGTGAGAGCGGGTTCCCCAGGTCCATAATCGTAACTAGTCACCGTGGGACCATGACCTCGAGGGGACCATTCCCGTGATGCCCCGAACGCGCTTCTACCCGGGGTCCTTCCTTCCCTCTCTAGACCCTTCTTCGAGACCTTTGTTGAGGTGCCCAATAGAGAAAACCCACATAATTTCAGTCCTTTAGCCACCAATCCACATGTCCCGTCATCCCATATGTTGATCTGAATCAACAACCCTAGTTATTTTAGTAGTCCCTCTAGATCCCAGCCAAGTGCATCCCAATGGGTAATGAGCCATACATTAGGAGGCCTACTCGAGCAGACTCAGGCTGAGGTTGACAATCGTGCTCGTCCACCCCCGTTGCTCAATTCTCCCTTAAAAAGGGTCATACTTCCATGTCCCTAAGTGAGTACATCTCCTCTTAGTCCAGTGGACCAGTCAAGTATTGGTGTCCAATAGGTTGAGCATACCATTCTCGTAGTGGGGGAGGTGAGTTTCGTTGCGGTTGCTCCATACTTTTTCGATTTCACTTCTGTTCACCCTTGGTGAAGGGTCCACTTTTTCACTTCTAATGCGATGGGGATGTATGTTGCCTTCTATTCACGCCTAGAGGGGATCGAAAATGGGCGTCGTGCCTAGAGGCTTCATGCTTGAGATGTCACACATGGTTATCGCACCTTGGGCATCACACATGTCATTGTTATCTACACTTGTCCAGTTGATGTTGTTAGACGTCATTTCCATATCAACTAATAATTGTTGCCACTTGTCCTGTTATGGTGGAGACATGTGTCTTGAAGTTTTCGAGTACTACATTTGCCCCCTGCGCATGCCAAGTTGTTGGAAGCATCCTGCGCGGGCACACTATTTTCTGTCCGCACCTGTCGTTTGACTGTAACTGTTGTTTATGAACCGACCGTAGTGTTAAAAAACTAAATTTTTTTCGTAAAATTGGCCCAAGTGTTCTATTGTCATTTCTCTATTGCCAAAAATATTGTCGTAGTTAGTTGCCCCTGCGTGCATGGACCTTATTTTGATGGGCTTTGCAAAGCATAATGGTCGTGAAGACTTGTATATTTTTTTCCTTTTGCAATTTTGGAGTAGGACTCCGCGTCCCTTGGTGTACCACAGTAAATCCACTTGGATGACCCACCACAAGAAAAAGCTCAGTTAGGGTCAGTCGAGGTTTTGAAGTATACCTTGAGGTTTGGGCTAAGGGGCACAGTCAAGGTTGTGCCAAACACTTCTCGAAAAATGTGGTTTAAGCGCTGAAAATCACAACCCTTGGTCTTGAAATTTTTGACACTATTCCTTGAGCATTGCGATTTAGGAGGCTTGTTGCGTTGACCAAATCAAAATGTTGCGTTGATTATGGTTTTGGAGTGAAGGTCGGCTCAACTGAAGCAAGGTCTAACCCACTGACCAAAGTCCAGCCCTTGATGCGAGGCTTGTGAATCAGTCGCGGTCTGACAGAGATCATGGTTGATGGAGGTCGCGGCTGACTTGGGACTTGGTGACGCTTATGAGAGCTTAAATAGATTGACAGTCGAAGTGATGTGTCAACCTAAAGAGAGCTTGGATTGGCTGCTGACTGGATTGTCGCGACTGATTGATGCGAGGCTACTTGATTTGCTATTTGGCATGACTTGGTGAGCCATGGTGATGGTTGGCGCCTCAACCTCATGACTCTTCCTTATCTTTCTTTATGAAATACACTTAAAACTTTAAAAGGTGGTAGCTCCACTATTTATACCTCATGGGTTTTACGTAACAAAGTTTTATAAAATACACTTGAACTTCCAAAGTGGTAGAGCCCACCATTTTAATATTTATAACTTTCACCCATTAAATAAGATTGTGGACCCCACCAATAACTCATCTATTTTCCATACTTTTCTACCACTACTAGCTTCATTCATTTTTTTATACTTTTCTACTACCACTAGCTTCATTCATTTTTTTTTTTCAAAATAACATGTTGTACTTCCTTTTTTTTTCAAAGATTTTATTTCTCCATTTGAATTTTCCTTAAACTCCTTGGGCCCACTCATCATTGTATGTTTCTCCATTTTCTTTCTTTTGTTTGACTGTTCTTTCCTTGCTTGGTTTTGCATCATTTCACACATTTGTTGTAGCAGCCTGCTAGGACCCACCATGTTAAGACTTCTTGGCATGTCTTCCCTTTTCTCTTGTTTTTTCTTTGACCATTCTTCTTCCATTGGCAGTGAACTAGCGCGTGAAAAGGACAGCTGTGAAGGGGATTGTCGGTGCAATGAAGCATTAATGGAGAAGACCAAGTTGATGGTAACCTTCTTTGATGCGTTAATCAAGCCTTGAGTCGAATGCCTTCCTGACATAGATGAAGCTTACCACTGTTGCACATCTGATAGATCGTCTCGGTCAGAGAATTAAATGACTGACGACTGATTGGTCATGGCAGATTGGTAACCCTTGACTAATATGTCGACCACAGGCCGCTGATGGTGAAGAGACTGAGATGGACATCACACATTTGTGGAGATCTTAACATTATGAAGTAATGACTGACCCGACTTTATCTGCTAAGTTCGACTTGCTAAGTGTACAACTTAATGCAACTGGGGCCGAGCTCACTCATTCCTTGGCTCTTGTACCCAAACCCGTCCACCTTATCTACTTTTATCTATAAATTAAAGGTTTCACACTCATTTTTACGTTTCTCATTTTCTCGAATCCCTCCTTCCTTCTTCCTTTTCCAAAGTGTCTCCACTTTGGTTTTCAAATATCATAAACATACACTTTTTTTTTCAAGACTTTTATCCCTGTTTCCTCTTCCTAGTATATGTTTTTCTCCACTTTGCCTCTTCCTTTTGCGAAGTATCTAGCCCCATACATATATATATATATATATATATATATATATATATATATATATATATATATATATAGATGTATAATGTTTTTAAATAACTTTTTCCTTGCACTATAGTTCATTCCCCACACCACTCTTATATATTTTTTTCTTTTCTCATGACCGATCATCGTCATATTCGTGCGGGTCCAATACCTCTGTCTAAGGAGTGGTATCGCACCCCTTTTTTTGGTGATGATGTTGATCGATTTTTCGAGTACCTCCTTAGCTATGTGCCTGAGGGAGAGGAGCTAGCCCATCCATTATTTCTAGATATCCCTGCGCATCTTTATAGGGCCCCTTGTATCGATCATAAGTTTGTGTTTCAAATGCCATTGGCGAGGGGAGATTACCCTTATTCTTTTATTGACTTTGAGACCTCATCTACTCCTTCTGTCGGCTGGCGAAAGTGGTTTTGACCACATTCTTGTAGATAAGCATTTTGTGAAACTTTGGAGTCTGTCGGTATTATTTATGTTGTAAAGTTATGCTGCAAGATTAGCGTCAACTGACGCAATTTCAGCCTATTTTCTTTGATTTCTTATTGGTGTTGTAGGACTCATACCTTCGTCACCGCTTGAGGTGAGTTTACCCCCCCCCCCACTTTGGAGGATGTCTTGGTACTGATGCGACTGCCCATTTTTGAAAATTTCATTTACCTCTCCAGAGATTCTACTCTTGTCGAGGCGGCCTATGTATCTTACTCATCTGAATGTTTTACCGATGACGCGAGGTTTCCTTCATCTTTCGGTGTTGGAGGTAGTGTCGATGGGCACAAGTGTACTTACACATCTTGGGTGAAGTTCTTTTTTAGGGACATCGAGCCTGCGAAGAGCAAGTGTTTCGAGCGTGTTGGCCAAGATGGCCCTGGATCCCAGAGTGAACATGTCTTAGTTACCTTTATCACAATGTGGTTGACGTCATACGTTACACTGGAGCCCCCCTCTGATGGTATTAGCACCAGAGTTTTTCCTCTGGCTGCTAGGTTGGCTTTGTGGCTGCACAATCCCTTTGGTTCCTCTATTTCTTGGGAACCTATATCTTCGTCTTGATGATCTGTAGAAGGTGACCTCAATTTCAATGGGGCGTTACGACATTAGTAGCTATGTCTCTACCTTCTTCTTGCAGCTCTTCTTACTTAAGCATTTCCCCAAATGCACCACTAAGGCCAAATGTCCTACTGATGGTAGTCCTTCTCCTTGGGGAGTACAATGGTCTGAATGCTCCATATCTAGGTCGGTGGGCCCCTTTTTTGATGACGAGTTACAATTCATCTTTCGCCCCTATGTGGTTCCTCATCCTATGGTCGAGTCGTCTTCCAATTACCATGTCGAGTCCACAGCTATCACCGGTGATGCCATTGAGACTGTGGCTGACTAATATTTTAATTTTATTGCTTGTACTACCAAGGGATACCTTCCTTGCACTAGAGACAAGGGTATTGGAGTTATGGCTTATAACCCACACCGGGTGGCTCTATAGTTCAAGTATAACTAGGGCGTTCCTTCTGTTCTAGGGGATGCTTCAAGTTATATTGACACCGTGCGCAACTATTTATTTTTTGACAGAGTCGGGCTACTTAGGGATAGAACTATCATTATTCCTTCAGCATCTAGGGCTGGTGCTTTTACGCCAAATTATTGAATTTAT